AAACACTCTCTAAGTGCAAAATTTTAATTTTTTTCACTATGGTCCCGACAGGATGCACTTAGAGGGGTGTGACTGTAACTGGGAGAAGAACTTTTCTCATATGCTATTCTATTATGCTATACACAATCAAATACAAAAATAGGAACAATTTATGAAATAATTTATTTGGTAAAGAACCAAATAAGGCAAAATTGATTGTATAAAGAAAAAATAAGGCACCGTTTTCAAATTTTTTAAAAGAAGCATTAAAGAAACATACAGTCAATAAATCAAAGTGTCAACATAATCATTCTTCATTATCCATTGTTGAAAAAAAAAGTTATTATTAAATATTATTAAGTATATATATATTGTAAAAGCTATAATTTATTATTTACCTTTTGGATTATTACCACTCATTATCGTACAAGTACATAAGCAATTCCTTCATTACTTGCTTGTTACCTTGATTCTTAAAAGCAAGATTCAAAGCTTTTGTGAATGAATCGTAGCTTGTTTCCTTATATATTCCTCTGTGTTCAGAACAAGAGAAAAGCCAGTTCTTCATATGTTCGGTAGTATAATACTTAATGCACCGAATACGAGCACGGTTAGATATTTCTATTCTTCCTGAATCAGTTGCGTGAACCCAAGAAGTTATTTCCTGATTATTACATTCAGCTACTGGACAGGATACATATAACTCTATAAACGTTTCACTCATTCTTAATAATAATAATTCAGAATTTATTTATTATATTGATATGAGTAAAATCTGTTTTAAATTTTAAATCTTTTTTATATAAAAATTTGGCCGTTATTCAGCGTAATATTCTTTATAAAATACCTAATTTGGGTTTATTAAATGATAAATGATAGCACTTATTTTTCAAAGCACGTATTGTTTTCATTCAGACAAAGCGCATAGAATTCTTTAGAAATTATCATTTAGTTTTTTCAGTCGTAACTGAACTTAAAAGTAATGTACTACATGAAATAAGCTTTTTTAAAATAAGCTAATATAGCAATTGAATTATTCGCTATAGTATTACGCAGTTATCTATATGCATAAGACCGGATAGATAATGCGCATGTGAATACGTATCGGATAAGATCTTATCCATTCCAGCAGAGTGCATTTCTATTTTAGGATACAATGAATATACTTACACTTATGTAGATAGATGATGTTCTAAATCATTATATGGTTCGGAGTTCAACTGAAAAAAGTCTTCCAGCCGCATATTTACTCACGATAAATGCACACTTACTCCGTTACGCCATTTTCACAGAACAAAGATTATTTTTTGATATGCGCAATTTAACCATTTTTTGGACAATTAACATTTGATTAGGGATTGGAACCGCCTAAAATTTTTCTTAATCGTTTAATCGTTTAACCGTTTAACCGTTTAATTTGGCCGGCATTAAAATAATTCCGGCCCACGACCAACATAATTCTGCCTGGAACTATGAAGCAATTTTTAAACGGTTAAACGGTTCCAATCCCTACATTTGATTAAGAACTTAAATAAACTAAAAGAAGCCAAGCGTTATTTTTTACAATAAATTTAGTCCTTATGATTTATAATTTGTCCATTGATTCGAAGATAAGCCAAAAAAAGGAGACGTTAAAAAGAAGTTGGCTTTATCATTACCTATTTTTGTTTATTTGAATAGGTCTGATGAGATTGTGCGTGTAAGTCGTTTACATTAATCATATTTTGTGTCTCCAATAATTGTAATATTCTTTTAAAAAATACTGAATTTTATCCATCTTATTTTTTTTTCAATAATTATTTTGAAAAAAGTTGAGGTGAGTAATGAAGTCGTAACTTACTTACTATAAAGATGTTCACCAATTAAAGTTTTAAAAAATCTTATATACTATAAACAAATCTTAGCGAAAAACTATGTCTCATCCACACGCACACCTACAACAGAATGAAAACAGCGATCGGTACAAGTTCCAGCAAAATAATACTAACAGAGAATTACAATTGAATGAAAACAGCGAATTGTTCAAATTCCAGCAAAATAACTCTAACAATGGATTGCAACAGAATGAAAACAGCGAACACAAATTGCAGCAAAATAATACTAACAGAGAATTGCAACTGAATGAAAACAGCGAATGGTTCAAATTCCAACAAAATAACTCTAACATTGGATTGCAGCAAAATAACTCTAACAGCGGATTGCAAGAGAATGAAACTGAAAAAAGAATATTCCAACAACAAATTCAAAAGGAAGAAACCGTAACTAATTATTACAGACAAGTAATCTATGAGATCTCGCAGCGAAAAAATATGTCTCACTCACATCTACATCAACAAAAGAACGAAAACAGCGAATGGTACAAATATCAGCAAAATAACGCTAACAGTGGATTGCAACAGAATGAAAATAAAAATAGAACATTCCAGCAACAGATTCAAAAGGAGGGG